TTTTGGGCAGTGTAGAGTAGGGCTTGTTGTTTGTCATTTCTCCATCACAAATGTAGACATGGTTTTATGTTTACGTGTAAAAAGACAGTATAAGTCATTATAACCCATAATTATGTCCCCACTGGATGCAATGTCCCCACTGGATGCAATGGGTTTTCATGTTTTTGTCTCGTCGCTCCGGCCGGACAGGGCATCACAGTATGATAGGGGCGTAACATTTCCATCACACGCTTGAGGTATTCGGCCAATCACAACGCACTGGATAGCTGGCCAATCACAGCACACTTGGTCTTTTTCAGACCGATGAGCTTTGTAAAAATCGACGCGTTTCAGAAAGGCGGGGCATAGAGGAGAAACAATAATGTACAGTATGTGGAAAATAATGTGTTTTTTGAACATTAAACCGCATAAACACATTTCATTACACCAAATACTCAAAATAATGTTCTTTTTAGCAACATCATATGACCCCTTTAAAATTGTAATTAGTGAAGTAATACACCACTTGTGGCCAATTCAATTACAATTTCGTAGATGAAGTATATAATCATTTTTAAATGCATATTACACTTTCTTGAATCAAAAACCACTGGGGGAACTCCATCGTACAGTGCATGCCTCCTTCAGCTTATGACCAGGCTCTGTGAGAGATGCTGCTCTTATAATAAATGATGGTTGAATGAGAAAAACTAATAATAACCATCTAAGTTGGTGCAAGATGGCTGCGCACACCCATATAAGGTTGATATTAAAGGCACAATATGTCATTTTCGCCACTAGAGGGCACGTATTTAAAATAAACAAAGAAACAAAGGCATAGTTTGATGACGCTGTGACTGAGTGTGGAATCATGGGAGTTATCGTCTTCATAGGCTGAAAGCCGTCAAAGCGAAACGAGGCCGCTGAATGAACGTGACACACGTCTCGAAAGCAGCGAAGCTTTTATTATGCCACAGTCGACCGCTGCCGCTCCTTCCGGTTGTGCGTATGTGGGGGGAAAAAAGCAGCGCTGATTTGAAAGTTCTGTTATAATGCTACTCTGTGCGGTCGTCACCGGTCTATTAAAACGCACAACATATGTGAAAGTGACGTGACATGTGGCCAAGTATGGTTACCCATACTAGGAATTAGTGCTCTGCATTTATCCCATCCAAAGTGCACACACACAGCAGTGAACACACACACACCGTGAACACACACCCGGAGCAGTGGGCAGCCATTTATGCTGCGGCGCACGGGGAGGAGTTGGGGGTTCGGTGCCTTGCTCAAGGGCACCTCAGTCACATTCACTCCCCCCACCTACAATCCCTGCCGGTACGAGACTTGAACCCGCAACCTTTGGGTTACGAGTCCAACTCTCTAACCATTAGGCCACGACTTCCCCGCTTCTTAAAGCGTCTTTGGTGTTTCCATGTTTTCTACAAAATAAAACCGGAAATCGAGGGGTTATGACATCATTGGCAGGCGACACAATGACACTATAGACACGGTCCGTGTCACTAGTTAAAATTGCTTATTTCTCTGGATTTAAACATTCTTCGAAACATTTGGGATAATGTAAGTGTACACAAGTCAGCAAAATATATAACACTGTTCTAGTGGTTTTTGGATATTTTAATAAAAAAATCTTATATATTGCGCCTTTAAAATCTTCACAGCTTTAGTGTTACTGGAGAATCAGGCTTCATCAGATCCAAATGAATCTTACACATTAGAGGTCCAAAAGCTAAAGTAACTCAGAAACAGCTTCACACATGTGGATCGAGCTTTAATACAATAACAACTAAACAAACATCTTGTTCATCAGCGGTTGTAACCAAACATAGTCCTGAAATTAAAGACCCTTGGTACACATAGGCTGCATCTGTAATCGCATACTTCCCATATAGTATTCTTTGCATATAGTAGGCAAAAAACAGTACGAGTAGTATGTCCGAATTCACAGCATTCATAAAAAAGCGGATGATGCCACGAGAGATGATTTGTGAATGACAGTGAAGCGACGCAACTGATGCTGCTACTATTAGTCACATGACAATGACAACGTGACGTATGTAGTACATCCGGATTACATTCATATGACACAAATTCATACTACATAGAACAGACTTTTTTTTAGCAGTCGCGAAGTAATTATTTTATTCAAACATAAGAGTGTTTGATTTCGGATGCAGCCTTTTTGTTACATAGCATTTTGTAAAAATACTACTTTTTCATTCTGCTTCATTATGAGCCCTTTAGTGTTTTAGTTTTAGAGCTAGTTAGCTGCGTACGGTGTTTCCTGCACTGCTATTCAGGATGTTGTTGTGCTAAAGCTTCATCTGAAAGGACGTGGAATTTTTGAGTTCAGTAAAGGCCTGTTTAAGACTAATGTTCGGTATAAAAAATATCAGAGTGAATTTTTATGTTCATTCAGCCTGTCTGCAGTTTTTTATGCATTGGTCTGAACAGATAAATCATCAGACAGCTTATTCAATCGAATCTGATTACTCGCTCGCTCAATGAACTCAAAATGAGCCCAGAACTGATAACTGGGTTTTGAAGATATAAATTTGCAACAGAATTTTTTTTGGTTTTGTTGTAATAAAATGTATTTTACTTGAAAATAATTATAATAATATATTGAAAAAAATTATTGATGTGTTGAAAAAATATGTTATTGTTTAACATGTTTTAGGGTCGATTGATCTGAAAAAAAAAGTCCTGTAGGAAACACTGGTTGCATATTTACAGTACATGCTGCATAGTGTTGTTTAAAACATCACAAACAATTGTTTTAATTTGAATGAGTGCAGTACCTGAAGAATAGTTCATAGACTTTTCAATTGGCCGTCACTTGGCCAATGTCATTAAGACTCTCATGATTTGACTCCCAGATGTGAATGGAAAAGTTCTGGATCTTTCACACAAGGACGAGAAAAAAATATATACAGTGGGTACGGAAAGTATTCAGACCCCCTTAAATTTTTCACTCTTTCTTCTCAAACCCTTCACACAGGTTTGATTGTTTATCCAGAGGTATTTTGAAAGGTCAATGCAGATTATTCATCTGCAAAGGTCAGGCTAACCTTAAATTGCAGGTTTTCCATGAATATTTCCACCGTTTTCTCCTGTTAAAATCCAGGATTAAAGTGACTCACGCAGCAGAAGTATAGCAGAGAGATAGAAATGCTCTCGGACACCTACGTGCAGCCTGATGAGGCGTTTCCTTCAACCATACATGGCCATCAAATGTAATAGTTTACCGCGTCCTAATGACACGTTAAGAGTAAATGATAATAAAAGAAAAAAAAACGAATCAAGAAATGAACAAAAAGAGAGAAAAACCATTAAACTGCTGCATTGCGTCCTTATGACTCCTCATGAGTGACCCGGCCACTATGGACTGAATCACGCTACATTGACTTCAGTAAACGTACCATTACGCATCAAAACACATCTCATGGTGTTTTGATCACGATCTGACCTAACACTGGACACACTTTGGTCTTTTCACAAAGACGAACAATTAAACAAGGACAGTTCTTGTTATTGGATGTAAAACAAAAGCATAACGTCGTTGTCCATGTCTCTGAGCCCTCTCTTGCCCTCCAGGTCCTCACCTGATTCATCTCCTCAAGAACGACTGCGGACCTCTTGCGTTCCAACCAAAATCTTGCTGTAGAGCTTTTGTTGCTCCTCTTTGAAAGTGTCTTTCACTTTCCCTCGTTTCAACCCACCATCCCTAAAAAAAAAAAAAAGTTTCAACTAAACTGTCATTTACCAAAAAAAAGGTCATTTACCTACTGAGAAAAGCAGCTTTAATATGCCTAAGCTGGTTTGTTGGCCTCCCAGTCTGGTCAAAACCATGCTGGCTGGTTTTAGAAGGGTTCTGGGCATTTGTCAGCTGGCCAGGCTGGGAGATCAGCTTAAACCAGATATGTTATGTTTGTACAGACAGTCAGTTATATTACAGCTTATATTAGTGTTTTTATTACTTTTCTTTGGCCTCAACAAAAAAATTATCATGATTACAGTAAAAGACTGTAAAATTGCTGCGGTTAAAAACCTGTTAATTGGTCAAAGGTAAATTCCATTACTCTATAGTGAAAAAACTGTAATAATGTAACTAATAGGACATTTCAAACAATTTTACAGTAAAATACTGTTAAATTTACCGTTTTTAGAAGTGAGAAAGAACAAGTCGTCTATCAAAAACCATAAATTGACATTACCACAACTCCCTGTGTGACGGCTCACACTTGATGGTTTTTCATTGAAATAACTTAAATAACTGTACATTAAAGGCAGGGTAGGTGATCTGGTTAAAAAAAACCTGGTTGAAAGTCTCTTCACATCCCGATAGCAATCACTTACACCACTTAATCAGTTAAGTGGTCTAAATGTATTTATATCGTCTGTGGAAAGCATAGGACCATAAAATGTTCGTCCAAACATATTCCTCGATCCGAGGGCCACGATAGGCTGTTCTGCCTGCCTGTCAACGTATGTATTTGCATACCTCTGTTCACCCTGTCCGCAGACATGACACGTCATCAGTGCGTTCATTAGCTTGCTATAGCTAGCCTTTCTGAAATCCTACCCTACCTTTAAGGTTCATCTTATGTTGTTAAATTAATGTTTATTCAACATCTGTCATTTATTTACAGTCAGTTTGACAGTTGAGTCAGATACGACAGCTGACTTACCACAGCAGGTCCACTAGACCACCCTGTCTGGCAATGGCTGCCTTTACTCTGTTAGCAAACTGCATTGCATCCTCACCTTCCTGCAAGGTGACAAAACAGACATTGACAAAAAAAACTTGACCTTTGGTTTTAAAAATGATTAAGTGCTTAAAATGTATTTTCACACTTGTTACAATTTGTTTTCCAGCATTTTCAGTTAACAGCATGTATAATTGAAGAAACAGTTATTCTTTTTCTGAATCAAACTATAAATACACAAAGGAAGGACTTCCAAAAATATTCCAGTGATTTTCCAGAGAACTTTTGTAACTTTCAAGGTGTGGCGGATCACATCAGCACAATGATTTACCTATGGTGACCATTTCGGGGTTTTTTGGGGACAGGAGCCTTTACATGCATTAAAAACAATGGTCTATTTGTTTATTTGCATGCCCACATGCAAACACAGATGTCCATTTCCAATCTGTGGTGGGTGGACAAAACTCCAAACTCACTCGGGCTCATTTGTGCTTGATTTGTGTATTAAATGCACCACTGCAAAAATGGGAAGGGCAGTGCAAGTCAGTCATACCACAGATTTTACTGCATGCATGTAGGCCTTACCTGACGGCTCATCGGAGGCAGGTACCACACACTGCAGACGATGGCCCAGCTACTCATCATCCTGAGCAGATAATTCACCATCCCAAACTTACTGCTGTTCCAGAAGGCTTCCCCAAACCGAGGGTCATACTAGAAAATCACAAAACATGCAAATGAAATACAATGCAACCACCACCACAATGCTGACGCAAGAAAAAAGTATCTCTTCAGTCATCTTTTTTTTTTTCCCAGTAAACACACCTAAACATTCTTAAAACAAAAAAACAAATGCATACAGTAAAACCTGTATTCAGATATTATTTCTTATTTGTTTAAAAGTTAGACGGTATTTAAAACTTTTAAACCTTGAAATAAAACTTAATATACAACAAAACAAAAAAAGCACATTTAAAACCAAAACACATTTAAGCTAATGTAATGCAAAAATAATTCTTAATATCTTACACAATTTTGCTTCTCAAGTAATCTTGTTTTAAGGATGTTAAGATGTTATTGCTGACAAATACTGATTAAGTCATCAACATCCTAATCATTTGCCCTTCATCATTTTTCTTAGCATAAAAGCTGATAAAGTAAGAGAGCATGCAAACAAGGAGGAACCTTTGAAAGCAGCTTCACAGCTCAGAACGAGAGTGAAATCATACAGCCTACCCGCTACAGCATTAAAAACACATTACTGATAACTGAAAAAAAATCTTTTAAGTTTGGAATAATCAGTTTGTCCAGCATGTTTTAAGTGTAAAAGACACATGAATGGGCACGTGTCAGAAGACATTTGCACATGTAAACGATCGGTAAAAGAAAAAAAAAAGTTCTTTCAGCACTCAAAACACTGTGGTAATACTAGATTTCTACTTGATGCCAGGGTGTTGTGGGTGGTTTTAAACATGTTGCTATGCTGTTCTGGGATGGCTAGGTGCTTGCTTACTGGACCAAGTCAAAAGAGTCCACCCCCAAGTCCCTAGAGATGGCTTAGGTCTCTCCATCTATGGGATTTTTAGTTTTCGCCTGTTATATCATCCACCAGCCATATCTCAGATCAACTCAAGAGAAAAGAAATAGCACACATCAACTCAACATGTCTCACAATTTACAGTAGGGTCCAAAAGTGTGAGACCTCATTAAAAATCTGGAATTTTTAAAACCTTTTATTATTTTGAAAAATGTCAAACAAAGAAATTTGACATAAAATTCAAAAATATTTCTTCTTTATTTTAAGATTTTGTGTAGTAGTAAGACTATGCCATATTTTTAGATCAGATCCAATAAGCATTCAACATGATCATCAGGACTGACCAAGCGGCAACCTTCCGCTCTCTCGTGAAACCAACACGGAAGTGACTAAAACTGCAATTCATCGACTGGCCGCTAGACGCTGGCTCCAAAAGGGAGTCAGTCCCATAGACTCCCCATGTTAAAATGCCCAACTTTACAGCAGAAAAAAATATGTTTACAGCCTGTTACAAAAAGTGGTTTTGGTCTATATAGCTAATTTTGCCCTTCATGACAACTGTGAGGGGGGTGAATTTTTTTATAACTCATCTGTTTAAATTATGTTAAGCCTTAAAGTTCTGCATAATTAAAGGCGTGGCCACTTGAGTGACAGGTGGATTGCCGCTGCTGTCACCGGCGTCGAGCTAAATGGGCATGGTTTCAGCAACCGGCTCCCGCCTCTTTGCCCATTTTCGATTATCCGGAAGTGACGCGCGGTGACGCGCTGCCAAGATGGCGACGGCCGGCTCCACCTACTTTAGGCTTCAAAAACGCTCTTCGGAGACCTACAGGTGACGTCACGGACACTACGTCCATGTTTTTATACAGTCTATGGGACTGACACAAACTTGTAGAGTTCATTCAGCTTGAGAGCCGCTGTTGTTAACGCAAAAGAGGACAAACCAAACACTAGGACAATAATTCGTGGTCATTTTGTAATTCAAATGATTATGCTGATTATGTAATTCGTTCAGTAGCGGTATTTTCATTAGTGGTCTCAGACTACCATGCGTATCATTCAGGTATCATTTATGATTGTAGCACAAACATTGTTTAATCAGTGTTTAATACTTGATGTTCAAGGTTTGCTCACATCCCTAACCCAAAGTATTCACTAGGGAAATGAGATTTTCTGACCTTTATGGCGACAGGGTAGACGGTTGAGCCAATTTCAAAGCTTCCTTTCTTGAACATCATGACTGATGTGTTATTAATGCAGGTACCTGGAGACAAATTATATGATAAACACAAGAAATAAACATAATAGCATATTAACAACCAAATCAAATCACTTGTTCCATGTTAGTTACTATTTATATACGTATATGAATTAGTGGAGAAACTGTAAAAGGTCAATTGTAATTTATTCAATCACAACACGTTTTTCCATCACATTCTTTCTCTGCCTGAAAAAACAAGTGAGACCAGTTCACTTAGTGAGAAATTTTCAACAAACACTGCTTTTGAATTATGGATGTCCAGTATTTGTTTCCTGCTGTCTAAAGTTATAAAGCCTTTCAATTTAAAAATATCTACACTACTGTTCAAAAGTTTGGGGTCGGTAAGTAAAAAAATAAAGAAATAAATTATCACGGCTTCCAACAAAAATATTATGCAGCACTACTGTTCTCAATATTGATAATAATAAAGGATCATGAGACACTGGAGTAATGGCTGCTAAAAATTCAGCTTTGCATCACAAGAATAAATTACATTTTAAAATACTTTTCAAACAGAAAACTGTTATTGGAAATTGAAATTATATTTCACAGTATTACTGTTTTACTGTATTTTACTGTATGAACAAATAAAGGCAGCCTTGATGAACATAAGAGACTTCTTTCAAAAACTTTACAAATCTTACCAACCCCAAACTTTTTAATTGGTAGTGGATGTAGGAAACAAACATAGTAGTCTACTCTAGTCTCCTTTTCATATTAACACAAATTTCTGAGAATGAGTTCAGCTCACCTTCGGGGAATATGAGGATGGGCAGTTTGCTTTTGTCTTTTACGTGATTGCTCAACCTGAAATAAAACTCATTTCATTAATAACAATAATAACAATGTATGAGTGTTATAAAAAATGCAATTCGGTGAAATATTTGAACTAATAATATTAAGAGGAATATGTTTAGAAGAATCCAGCACTTTTGTGAAATAGGAATAGCCACAGAAATAAGATAAGCTGTGATGCTGTGTTACCTTTTAGCCACTAGATGGCGATCTTTGACTTCTGAGCGCTCGAACCAAATGTGTGGACAAGCTTTCACCATAGACCTCTGAATGAGCCCCATCAGGCCCCCATGGATCTGACCCACCTATAACACACACACACACACACACACACACACACACACACACACAATTAACCCTCTCAGAGCAGCTTTCTCACACATACCCACTACAGTTCCAGTCAAGAAACACACTTACCATTGCATAGCATCCGTCACTGGCTAGTATAATGACGTCAATGGGTGACGTGTGGTTGGCGACACAGATGCCTCCATTCTTGGGTTTGTTTTCACTGTCCCAGAGAAAGACAAAGAGAGGAGTTTGTGAGCAGAGGGTGTAAATAGTTGCAGGAGAAGCAGAGCAATGTGAGTTTGTGGTAAACAGGTCAAATGTCATCTAATGAAAGAGTTTGTGCGGACATCCAACAGTTTAGTAGTGTCTTCTCCAAGCTGTTTTGTTGTCACCAAACCCTGAATGTCCCTGTGAAAGGAGCCAGTTTGACTGGTCAAGGGAGAGGTCCTGAGAAAAAGAGAAAGACTTTTCTCTATTCGTATCGTATTTTAAGAAGAAGAGAAAAGGAGATAGAGAGAGAATGCACAGGAGGACAGTGACCTGAAATACCACACATGATCACATTAGGGCGATGCAGGAATGACAAGCTGAGATAATGACAAAGAGGTGTTCAAATTCAGTTTAAATCTGACCTGACATTGAAACACCAAACCATTGTTAACTCGCTGTTACACCGTTCGGGTGTTATGATGTCTGACCCCACTCTGTTTGTGTGTCAGATAACATCAGAACTAAATGTCCCTTCACCATTGATTCGGAACATGCTAGAGAAGTTAACGTTCTCAAGCACCAGCTCTAATTCACTGTAAGGAATTGACCCTTCGCCGGAAGTTTGATTGACCGGCGAATCTGCCATTTTGTCCGACAAACAAACCAGACAGGAGAGTAGACTAATGTCGGTGGACTTGAACTTGAAAAATTGTGTGTATTGACGTCTCTCCGCGGTTGAAACAAGAGACCTTCTGATGTTCATTCATGTTTATTTCGTGCTATAACTAGTAAAGAGAAAGACATGATCGGTTCATGTGCCGCTTGAATGAGGCTCTACAGCAATCTGTCACGACACATTAAAGGGCCACAAAACGGTATTTATTGTTTGAATTTTTTACAAAATGACAAAATTTAAAAGCTGAGACTTTGTCTCATACCTAAAGTAACCTGCTCTGTCTTGTCTGTCGGCTCGTTGTCAGTGTCCTCGATGTATTTTTCACTGAGTGAGAACATGATGTGTGGCGTGAGAGTGCCATGGGTTGTCGGACATAGCAACAGTAACTAAGGGGGCGGGTCTTTGCGAAAGGTTACTTGCATGGAAAAGAGCAACTAGCACATTCTTCAAAATTTGTCCTTTTGTGTCTCAAGGAAGACAGTCAGGTTTGAAGAACTACTTCAAAGAGAACTGTGAGAATGTGATTGTGAGCATGTGATTCTGAATGCATGATTTAAGTGTGCGATTATGAGACTCATATGAGTGTATGATTGTGTTATTGTGAGCGTGTGAGATTGTAAGCATGTGTGTGACTGAGTGATTGTTAGTGTGCATGTATGTGATTCAGAATGTGTAATAGTTTGTGTAATTGTGATTGTGTGACTGCCTGATTGAGAAAGTGTGTGTGATTGCACGTGTATGTGAATGATTGTTAGTGTAGGTAATGTAGGTGTGCATGTGTGTTCGTATGATTGTGAGAATCTCATTGCGAGTGTGATTGTGAGAGTATGCGTGTGATTGTGCATGTATGTGAGTGTTTGTGTGATTGTGAAAATATGTGGGTAATTGCGCAGGTATGCGAGCATGCGATTGTGAGCCTGATTGTTAGAGTATGTGTGTGACTGTGTATGTGACTGTTTGTATGATTGTGAGAATCTCATTGTGAGAGTGACGGTGTGTGATCTATGTGTGTGAATGTGAACATCTGATTGTGAGAGTATGCTTGTGATCGCGCATGTATGTGAATGTTTGATTGTGAACGTCTGATTGTGAGAGTATTTTTGTGATTGTGTCTACTTGAGAGTGATTATGAGTGTCTGATTGTGAGAATGTCATTGTGAGTTTCTATGTGTGCATGTTTGATTGTGAGCATCTGATTGTGAGAATATCTGTGTGATTGTGTGTGTATGTGAGTGTTTATGCATGTTATTGTGAGCATGTATGTGTGTGATTGTGAGTGTCTGATTGTGAGCATGTGAGTGTTTATGTAATTATGCATGTATCTGATTGTTTGTTTGATTGTGATTACTCCAATTGTGAGTGTTTATGTGAGTGATTGAGCATGTATGTGATTGCTAATGTGAGTGTGGGCATCTCATTGTGAGAGCTTATATGTGTGATTGGGAACATGTTATTTCAGACTGCACAATGACCCAAAATGCCAAGGCTCCAGATAGTTGGAGATTTCCAGTAAGCGTGCATAACACATCTGTGACACTTCTTACCTGTGATGGTATGTGATGATAGCAGTCAGCGCTCTCACACAGATACGGTAACACATCAGGTGCACCTTCTCACTGAGAAAATTTTTCATCCTGCAAACACACACAGACATGTGAACATCTGTTATTGGCCTCACAGATATGTTGTTCTAGCACTAGTTTAAGAAAGCAAAATAAATGAAAAAAAAAAAAAATCCTTTAACCTGATAAAAATAAAAACAAGACATTTCAGCTCAAACTCTAGAACACTCTTTACAAAATTTACCCTTTAAACTCTTTTTAGTTTAAAAGTGCACAGCAAGTTTTGTTTGCAGTTTTCTGGATCTCTGAAGCATACCTATGAGGATGCAACCTAGTCTATGTAGAATATTCAGAGTATTCATCTCATATGAATGTATATCATTTTAATATTTCAGCATTTTATTTACAAATTTTTTTTATTTGTAGATTTTTTTTAATTAGCAATAAATTACAGAGTTCACTTTTAATATAAAAAAAAAGTCGTTTTTTTTTTTTTTTTTTACTTTTAAGCCTTACACCGTGTCTACACCGGACTCGACAGTTGTCGTGTCGCACCACGCCACAACAGCTAAAGTCTGTCTACACCGGACGCGACAAAGCAACCGCTGAAAATCATTTGAAATTTGTGTCAATATGTCATAAATAGAATGCGGCAGCAGTTTTCTGTCGGGGATTTGTCGTGTCGCGCCGTGCCGCATCAAGTGTAGACAGCATCACTGATTATAATGAGTTCTATCGTATTTTGTCGCGCCGCTTGCGTCCGGTGTAGACACGGTGTTTGACTTTCATTTGAGATAAAAAGAGAGAACAGGGCATTAATGGATTAGAGAGACTGTAATATGTCACAGGTCAAATATAAACCTACATTAGCTATGATCACAACAGTTCCAAGAGCACACGAACTCCCCACCGCACCACAGCTCTGACCCAATGCATGCTGCTGAAAAGTTCAAGCAATAATACTGAGCATTTGGGTTTCCGTCCATAATTCAATTAATCCCACAATACCCAGTTGAGAACATCTGATTAAACAGAGCTCAGATATCAGGCGCTCTTCCTCATCTCAAATGTGCACACGGGTGGGTGAGGAGTTTCTATTAAAGAATGTGGGTTAAGGCCACTGCCCTGACTGACATTAATCCTACACAAGCTCCATATGGCCCTGAGGGGTGGCAGAATTAGCCTGTATTGTAAGACGCTAAATTCAGACTCGCGTGCCAGAACAGAGTAAGTGTCTCAGGGTGGACCAGTTAGAATGATGTCAAATTATAATGTCAGCCATTCAAAAATAAGAGTTATTTATTTAACACCCTAAATTGCAACTGAATATTACAAGTGCTGCTTTTTTCTGTTTGGTAATATGACATATAGGGGCCCCTGTAAGTATTATAAGGGGTGAGTATTTAATGTACCAATATACCCAACAATAAACATGGACTGTGTCTTTGCTGTATTGTTTTATCAATCCAGTTATTATCTAATTTGAAAACTCTGTGCAATGTCTCCTACAAAAAAACATCCCTTGGCAGTACCAGAATGTAAATCCATAATAATTCGTTACATACCATGGTATTACTTTGTACGCCAAGGTACTTCAAAGATTACCAATGTATTTCCATGGTACATGTCAAAAAACATAATATTACCATGGTATGTGTCAAAATGCATTTTAGTACTTGTTAGTTGTTAGCAGTGGCCTCATTTTAGCATACTTCTCTTCTAATCTTCACATCTGTTTATTCAATAAATAAGGGTTATTTTCTTATTTTACTATACGCAATATATTGTTACCATTACCAGCCAAAATGAGAGATTTTTTAATTTTCTGGTATCAGCTGATATTGGATAGAGTATAAATACTCTGTATTTAATTGTGATGCTCATTTCTCCTATTTTTTACATTATATTAGCTTTACTGTCATCTAACGTTCACTGAAGTAATTAGTGAAATAATTTTAACATTGTTAAATGTAATCTTAGCAAGTTTCAAATTTAAAAACGAACATCCATTTCTCATACTGTACATTACAATGATGTAACGCCTACATTCACTGCCATTTAAAATGACTGATTTTAGTTTTTAGTATTTTACTTTATTTAGACAAAATAGTACAGATTTGTAATTTATGGGTTATTGGCAATACAATTTATTTGTATCAGCCAGAATTTTAATATTAGCGCCGAACTTCCTCACCTGAGGGGCAGCAGAAACCCATAACGGATGACAACACCGAGACCCCACAGCACTGTCAGTCTGGTGCTAATGTGATTGAAGTTATTGTTGCTCCTGGTCAGCAAGTTCCACGACTCAAGCTCCTCTGCCGTGAAACACTTGGTAACCTCATCATCTACGATGCTTTCAATGCCACGGCGGCAAAAGTAGAAGGTGTCCGACATTTCAAACTCTGACGAGGAAGGGGAGGGGCTTGTGGTGGTGGAGGCGGAGCCATCCAACTCTCGGCTGCTGCAGTTTCGCCGAATCTCTTTGAGCTCCTCTTCAAGTGATGTAGGTTCTTTAGCAATAATGCCTGGGATAAAATAATACATACAATATCAACATCCAGAAAATAGAATCCTGAAAAAATGATATTTTCTTAATTTGCAATTATATCAACAAACACTCTCCTGAAAACTATGTAACAGCAAATGATGTCAGGATGTAAAAAACAACAAAAATATCCTGCAACACCACAAGCAATTCAGCTTGAATGGAGGTGATTGGGACACAAATGTAGTTTGACTGCCATTAGTTGTTGCCTGATCTTTCTGTTGATAGGTCAACTGACAAAAACACCTCAGTACGCGTCCCGTGAGATCGACCGAGCACTTGGGACACGCCAAAACAAGCAATGTCACTCAGATTAACAAGCAGATGAGCACACAGCAGGAGCAACAGATCATTTTCCCACAGGTGTAACAGTGCACAGTGTTTACACAGCCACTGACACACGTACTATTAAGACTGTAAGGCTTGTACAAAAGATGTTTTTTCTCCTTGGCTCCTCTTTCCATCCTCACTGTGGCCCACTGCGAAAATAAAGAAAAACAACCTCAATTTAATGCAATATTATTACCACTGAAACACTCTAGTATTGTTTTACTATTGTAAGAATTATCTTAATTGAATTGAAAAGATATTATTATTATTAGATAAAAGTATTATCTAAATATTTAAATGTATATAAATGCTAAAATATAATTAATTAAAATATTTATTTAAAACTAAATACATATTTAACCCTCTGATCATGAATGAAAAATCAATTAACGGTGGAAAATATCAAAAAAGATTAAATATTATTGTAATCATAGAGTGCTGCAGTGATGACATATTTTTGCAGACCAACCTGAAAGTTAGCAACACCCTGGTTACCTCTGTTTTTTGGATTAGTGCAGAAAATAAGCTCTGTGACTGACTGAAGTTTATGATTTTTACACGTTTTGTTCAAACCCGAGAGTCCTCACAAATTAACACAACTTATACATTTTGAAGCCTAAATACAGTATAACCAGATAGCTAAACGTTATATATAAACAAAAACAAACTACACATGATTTCAACGTCACCACCATTAAGCTTCCAACTACTTTTTTAGTCTTTTCCCTGAAAGTTTGAGTTTGCAAGAACACGATTAAAAAAGCCATTCAAAAACCCCACTGACTTCATGACAATGGAACTGGAAGTGCTCAAATGCTACGGTCACTTGTTTCCAGGTTTTGGCCTACAAAAATGTCATCCCTGCAGCACTCTATGACATATCTAATGCACAGTCAGCCAGTCATTATCACAAAATAAAACTCATTTACTTCCTCATCATAATGGACCTTAAAATAAACTGCCTGTTTCATGATTTGAAAACACATTGCGGTGGACTGTGTAGCACAAACATACACACACATACATACTGAATGTTCCCTCAGGGAACAACAAGCACTTTATTGAAAAGCTCTGGGAGGACGAATAATGTCAGTATGTTAATTCAGGCATGTGGAGCACACAATGCAAACAATTGACTTGACTTGAGAATCAGAAAACACCGAAGGGCTGCTATTGATATCTTGCGAAATTAACACACGTTTTGCTTTAACTTCAATGCCTCAATGTTAGCCTATTAATTTGTCTTATTTCTCTATCTGAACTAAGGTTTCTTCTAATCTGTAATAAGAGTACTCTGAGGTTGAGGACAGAATATAGACACCACACATTTTTTCATCATTTTGTCCCTGGAAGCTCATGGTACAGTAAACATTTACAATCCTGTTGCAATGTACAGCTGCAGAGCTGTAGATTCTACACACAGTCAGGAATAGCACTTTTTTAGCATTTTACTCTTATTTTTTTAGTTTTTTTTTTGTTTAGGGATTTAAAACCATTATTATCTGTCAAACTTCCTCTTTATTGCTTCCCCGTGACTAGGTTGGCTAAGCTGAATGTTGTTTAACACCCAAACAACATGACTTTTAACTAGAATTTCTCCTTCATTTCAAGAAATTCTCCTGCTTGTTGTTGGAAAAATACTCGTTTCCAGTTTCAGGCAGCAGGACGAGAGTAGCACGCATGTCTGCTCAGGCAGTGCGAATGCACGACCAGTTACATAACAGCTTCAGACGGACGTGAGGTAATGCTGAAATAAATCAGCCACAGCTGGAGAGGAGCAGCCCCTCAGCTCTTCACTCCACCTCCACACCTGTCTCTCCACTCTATGATTTTCATTTGGGGGGGAAACAGTGCCAGTAAAGGAAGCAAATCATGCATTTTCTAGAAACATTAACCAGATGTGCTTAACATGTCCTCCTCGTCCAGATCTCATTTCTTGCACCTGGCCTCTTAGTTAAAAAAAGAACTGTATTCATATTTAGATCCCAGTATGTTCTCTGGACCAATAAAAAATGCAAACTGTGCACTGACCTCCCAACTCCATCTAAATCTCATCAGATGGCCACAATAATGTAAGAGTATGAATATGCAAAACATGAGTGCATGAGAAGTTCACACTACCAAGTGCACTGACTAAATAAAAAGTATCAAAAAGTACCATGTTAGTACCACAGTTTTTTGGACATGGTGCTGTGACAATACAGTGTTTTTTGGACATGTATCATGATAGTACCATGATATTATGCACAATGTCATTATCATATCAGTTATCTAATAAATATTAAATATTTAAGCATTGTTAAATGTTTACATTTAGATTCTAAAATTCACTTAAAGGGTTAGTTCACCCAAAAATGAAAATTCTGTCATTAATTACTCACCCTCATGTCGTTCTAAACCCATCAGACCTCCGTTCATCTTCGGAACACAAATTAAGATATTTTTGATGAAATCTGAGGGCTCTCTGACCCTCCCATAGACACGAAAGCTACGAAAATACTTTTAGCGCAAAAGAAAAAAAAAACACAACAATTCGTCAAAATTTTCTTTTGCGTACAAAGTATTCTCGTAGCTTCGTAATATTACGGTTGAACCCCTGATGTCACATGGATTATTTTACCGATCTCCTTGCTACGTTTCTGGACCTTGAACGTGGTAGTTACCTTGCTGTCTATGGGAGGATCAGAGAGCTCTCAGATTCCATCAAAAATATCTTAATTTGTGTTCCGAAGATGAACGGAGGTCTAATGGGTTTAGAACAACATTAGGGTGAGAAATTAATGACAGAAGTTTCATTTTTGGGTGAACTATCCCTTTAAAGTTCATTTAAAAAAATGCTAACAATTTAATAACACTGTTAAATGTAATATTTTGCAAATATCAAAATATATTAATCTTTCCTTCCATACATTACAATGTTGCGATGCCTAAATTCATTTATAGTATTTAAAACAACTGATTTAATGTGACTGAATGATTGGTTATTCATCTCTCTCACTCCAAACTTTCTGTCAACTCTATACAATCCAGAGAACAAATGCAAGGCCACAAATAAATCAGTATGAACAACAATCCAACAAGATGACCTCCTGACTCACCTCAAACACCTTGAGCAGCGTCTTCATGTAGAGTCTGCGGATACCGAAAGACAGACCGAAAATGGCTGGAACGATGATGAAGACCAAGAGCAGCGTGAACCAGACAGTGAAAGAGATGCCCAACAGCATGCATAGCAGATTATTGAAAGGAGACATAAAAGGGCCCATTTTTACCAAACGAAAATGTGGTTTGTTTTTAGAAAGGAGAGGAAAGTGGACACCCCAACAGGCAGCTTTCTCAGGCACTTTTAGGGTCAAAGTCTCCAGAGTACGATGTGGAATGCGTCCATAAAGCAGACAGGTGACATTACACAGTCTTTCATTTCTGATGGCTCACGACTGGATGAAGCAAACCCATCCTTCTGCATGTAGCACTGCCCAGAGGTGATCAGCTTCGCTTTTATTGATTCATATTCTTCAACATTGGCAATTTTGCAACTTCAGATGCCTGTAGGCTCACAGAACATGACAGCTCTTCACTCAAAACTCTGTAATGGAGAAACCTGGAGAATGTGAAGGAAACACAAACAGGAAGAGGATTACAATTCACTCAAACACAGGCTTATTCAAATCCAACTGACTGCGACTGAACACACCAAAGTAAATGCAACAGGTTGATCACAAAGCCAAACAAAGTGGCCTGGGACTACACTGGGATCTCAAACAAGGACACGTTAGAGTCAGAGCTCCCACGAGTACAGAGAAGAGAAGAGAAGAGAAGAGAAGAGAAGAGAAGAGAAGAGAAGAGAAGAGAAGAGAAGAGAAGAGAAGAAGAGAAGAGAAGAGAAGAACTTTTACTCAAAGTACCTAGCCACAATTATACATACAATAAAAAAAAAACTGTTTTTATTAACTAAAACTATAAAATACTTTTTTCAGTGATTGAAATAAAGCTAAAATAAAACAAAACATTAATAAAAAATGAAAGTACATAAATTACTAGAACTTATACTCAAATTAAAATAAAATTAGTATATACTGCCATTCAAAAGTTTGGGATCAGTAAGATTAGTAATGTTTTCTTCTGTTCATCAAGGCTGCATTTATTTGATCAGAAATACAGAAAAACACTGTAATATTGTGAAATATTATTACAATTTAAAATGTTTTTAATATACTTTAAAATATAATTTATTTCTGTGATGCAAACCTGAATTTTCATCAAACACATGTTTTATTTAGTCTTCAATGTCACATGATCCTTCAGAAATCATTCTAATATGCTGATTTATTATCAATGTTGGATACAGTTGTGCTGCTTAATATTTTTTGGGAACCTGTGATACTTTTTACAGGATTCTTCAATGAATAAAAAAGTTAAAAAGAACAACATTTAATCAAAATAGAAATCTTTTGTAACAATATACACTACCGATCAAAACTTTGGGCTCAGTCATTTTTTTATATTTTTTTATGCTTTTATTCAGCAAGGATGTGCTAAATTAATAAAAAGTGATAATAAAGACTTATATTGTTAGAAAAGATTTCTATTTTAAATAAACACTGTTCTTTTTAACTTTATTCATTAAATCCTAAAAAAAAAAGCATCACAGGTTCCAAAAAAAAGTGTAAATAATACTAAAATAACACTGTCTGAAATGGACCAAAGAAAATTGAGGTACAGTTAAGATTTTCACTGAAGTAAATTTGAAGCACTAAATTATGCAAAGTAACCTACTTAATCAGTAATCACTATTTCATCACTGAGTTCCGACCTTAGTAATGATCTCGTTAAAGGAGGCACGCAGCTGAGAAACAGTTTTACTCTGCTATCCCGGTAAATCACGTCATAATTTAGCTGGGAATATTTTGGAATTAAATGGATTAAAGGGATTTGCTTTAGGTTAACAGAAAGTGAATGACAACTACATTTTACATTAAAATGCATTTCATTGGCTGTTCTAAATAAAAAAAATAAGTAAAATTTATTTAATTTCGAGGTTTAAATAACATTTTAAGGAGAAAAAAACTTTCTTTACAAAGGTAGTTGAAAAGTAATGTTTCAACAGCACTTGACTACAATTATCCCAAATACTTCATTAGCAGCAGCAGCAGCAGTAGTAATGAAGTACAATTACTCAAGTACTCACACATCAGGTTATACAGCCTGCTGTATCGCTGTTCGAAGAAAACCTGCTCGATCCACTACATGACTTTATAACTAAGCAGGTAATCTGTGCCAGCTATAGCCTTCAGCTAGTTGGTTGATGAACAGGCAGAGCAGAGCAGAGCAGCGGATCGGATGACTGTCTTCACGGATCATCTTACACAGACCACGCATCGCGTGTGCGGCATCGACAGAAGCATTAACTCGGCGCGTTACGGAGCTGAGCCGCTTCGATCTCAAACCGAGGGCGCGTCCGCATCGCGCTCACCGACACCGGCGGGGTAGTTGAAAAGTAATGTTTCAACAGCACTTGACTACAATTACCCCAAATACTTCATTAGCAGCAGCAGCAGTAGTAATGAAGTACAATTACTCAAGTACTCACACATCAGGTTATACAGCCTGCTGTATCGCTGTTCGAAGAAAACCTGCTCGATCCACTACATGACTTTATAACTAAGCAGGTAATCTGTGCCAGCTATAGCCTTCAGCTAGTTGGTTGATGAACAGGCAGAGCAGAGCAGAGCAGCGGATCGGATGACTGTCTTCACGGATCATCTTACACAGACCACGCATCGCGTGTGCGGCATCGACAGAAGCATTAACTCGGCGCGTTACGGAGCTGAGCCGCTTCGATCTCAAACCGAGGGCGCGTCCGCATCGCGCTCACCGACACCGGCGGAACAGACCGTCACGGAAAGGGATGCGAGAGCGAAGATCCGCATGTCGTCAGTGACGCACAGACTGACGCGCGTCTGAGAGCAACACCACCCGCGGGAGTGAGAGGCAGACGGATGTCTTCCGCCAGGGGGCGCGTCGAGGCTCAGAAAAAAACCATTGCGACACATTCAAATCTCAGGACGTTTTCTTGCTTTTATTTATTTATTCATTTTTTGTCTCACTGGAGACATTTGTATTCTAAAGGATTGGTATAAATCGTACAATTTCGCTCTAGAAATTGCTCAAATATATTTTATAAAATAGCGTTAGCTAGTAATCACAGACGCAGGTGATTGGTTAATCCTCAGAAGCGCGGAGAAAAGTAACATGTTTCATGTGATCACGAGATCAACGCGCTGCTTCCGCTACAGGTTGAATGATAATTCACATCTTTACAACAAAACTGAGAAGCTCAAATGGGATTTAATTTAACAAAAGACAGTGAGACAAACTAAATATAAGAATTATTATATATCTGACCAATTAGAGACAACTTTCGAGTCTCTAACCCTATCATTTACTTTTTCTAATGACCAGTATCAGCGAGTTCTAGTGACCAACAACTAAATAATCCGTAGGAAGCCTATTTTGTCGAGATACAGAAAAAAAACAACGTTTAAATCCTAAAAAGCTAAAATAACTGTTCTTTCAAACAGCAGAACTTACACTAAGAATCCACCAGGTGGAGATGCAGGACTGTATGCAATGTCAATGGCACAAATATATATATATATATATATATATAATTTATTTTATTA